CTATTATTATAATTAAAATATTTAATTACGTTTAATTAATTTATATGATCAAAATATATGATATAAATGATACATATCTATAACATAATTATACATGATGTAATACACCAATAAAGAAACATATTGCAAGTACTGATTTTAATTAATTTATAAAACATAATATTATATTATATTATATTTTATATTGCTCGCGTCCGGGGTGCTGGAGACCCACCTCACCACACACTGTCTCCAAGGACAACATTAAGACCCCAGGACTGGAAACGACCTGAGGAAATCGCAAACTCGACACGGACACACCATCCGGACACGAAGCTGAAAAAGGGGGACGTCTCCTCTCCATCGCCTTTTGCGCACGACCACCCATTAAAAACCCCTCTGGACCAGCGCCGCCAGCAAGCGATGCACCTTGATGCCAAGACAACGATCACTCCGATCGGTTTTTGTTTGTTTTTGTAGCGCATCATTCTTAAGCAGTCATTCCAGAGTCGATAATAACAGTACGGACACTGTGTTCACACACATGCATTTAACTGGTTTCTTCTTCATGAGAATATCCTCATGGCCTGAAACTGACATAAACTATTAAATCCGTCGCATTCACTCTGGATTGACGCCTTTTTTTTTTTTTATCCTCGCATGTCTTGAGTTTTCTGCTTTCTCGAGCACTGTCATGCGTGTCCAGACAACGGTCTGATGCTTTCAGACAGCAGTAGGTTATTCAGCCACTGGTGACAGTGTCTTAAAGGTCCCTTTAAATAATCTGCCGGGCCTCCCTTAAAAACTGACTCCCTATTTTGCGATCCAAAGGAATTGGAGCAAACATCCCCCTTGGAAAGTTTAAGGTGGAGACCAGCACTGGGCCATAACACATCCAGGAGGTTTTACAGAAGGTAAGCTAGTCTAATGAACTCAGATGGCACTGTAACCTTGCATCATTGATCTCCAGTGCATTGCCGTGCCAATATAAGCGTGCATATTTAGTTTTGTCCCCTGAGCACGGTCACTCAGGGTAGCAGAAAGACCCTGACCTATTTTCCAAGAGCGTGTTCTTGGTTTATGCCCCCGGTCTGTGTGATTTCTTAGGAGTTGATGCCTGTAGTGCCTCCAAAGAATGAGAAACGGTGCTTCCACTAATGCACTTAAATAGCAGACAGAATGTCTGGAAGCACCTAGTAAATCTAGCATTATGTGATGAGTTGGTTGTCGTTTTCATATTCTAGACTAGAAATACTTCATATGGGGCAGGATGCAAATAAAATGCTTCATATGGGAAAGGATGCATGCGAAAAAAACTGAAATATTGCATCCAAATATGATGCATTCTGGCAAAGTTACTGTTATTGTCCATAGAGGCTGAGGCCTGGACATAAAGCAGTCATCATCCAATTAGGCGATTCCAGTGTCCCTGTGCTTAATTGTGAGCACATTGAGATGTGGTTTGGAACAGAGCCAATCCTCATTGGCTGCTACACATGGGGCCATTGATAAAGAAGATGCCTGCCAGGACACAGTTAACCAACTGCGAGAGGGGCATCTCGGACAAAAACGCTCTTGAATAAAGCTTGTGCATGGGGTTGATTTATTAATTGAGCCTGGTTTGCATTTGAGAGGTGATTGCCTTCATTGAAGCCCAAACTGGTGTAGTTTGTCCAATGGTTTGCATGACATTTGACCTCTTCATGTTGTGCTTTTTTGTTTAGAAATGCATGCATTGATGAAACCACTGTTGAAATTGCATTGAGATGCACCTAAAGTGACCCGAACTGGCCAGATGTCATTCCTTGGTGAAATCCAGGCCTTTAAACTGACAGAAAGCAATGCGTGTATGTGCACAGCTTTCTGCCTTATGCCGCTGTGCAAACATCTCATATTATTGCCGTTGAGTCCTCACTTCACCGTATGCTCTCCTCCAGCTGTGCGTGCTGGCGCGCGAAACCAGCAGCTCTGCGATAGGACCGCCTGTTTCACGAAGTGCTCAGAGACATACTGGAAAGAAAGGCTTCTGGCTCACATATGAAGTGAAGCTCCGTAAGCTAAAGCAGAGCTGAACATTGCAGAAATCTGAGATCTTGGCACGCCGAGGCTTTGGCGTACTTTTGTGAGGGGTCTGGCCTGTGAATATACCGCTTGTTCCTCTCGATGCTCAGAATGGTTTGCCAAATATGACCCACCCTGAAGCGCTTCTGTGAATTCATGCCCATTACGCTCTCTAATGCTCAGTGAGTAAAGAGGGGCCCCGGCCTGGTCTTTACTCAAACGTGGGGCCAAACAGAGAGAATACGCGAGGCTTAGGACACGTTCTTATGTGTGCAGGCTGCAAGGCCTAAACACAACATTTGACAAAAGACCAAAAGGAGTGCTTGGTTTGGTTAGCGTTTGAAGATGTTTGGGAGAGTTTTACTCATGAATCGGTGGAACGCCAGCTCCATGATCAAACGCTGGGTCTATAAAACTCCAAAAAAGCTCCATAAAATTGGTGCACTATATGCAAAACCTTCTCAAGACAACTTTGTGCGAGAAATAGACCGATATTTAAAAGCATAGTTCACACAAAAAAGACAATTCTGTCATCATTTACTCATTCTCAAGTTAGCCTTGTTTTGTTCACACTTTTTTGAACACTAATTGTTTTTTATTGGCATCTATATGGTTCCAAAAAGAACCCTTAACATTCGTGGAATCTTTCCATTGATCAGAAGTTTCTTTTTAGTAGAAAAAGGTTCTTCGGATAATTCAAATGTTCTTCAAACTAAGAAAGAAATGTTTTTTTTTAAGAGCTGGATCCTCTATGGCAACACTGCTTTTGGTTCCTTTATTTTTAAGAGTGCATACAATAAAAGTCAATAGAGTCCAGTGGGTTTTTGACTCCAAATATCTTTGTGTTCCAGGTCATACAGGTTTGGAATGACATGAGGGTAAATGATGACAGAATTTTCATTTTCAGTCACACATTTAATTGAAACAATCAAAAAGTGTCATGCCAGGTTGGATGTCAATAATGAGACACTTGAGAACCAGAAACACCATTGATGTCAAACTTGGTGCACACACACTCTTAAAAATAAAAAGCTGTTTAATTGGCATGGATGGTTCCATGAAGAAATTTTAATATCCACATTCTTAAAAATAAAGGTTCCAAAATGTGCAACGTGTCTTATTTTGCAGCAATGCCATGGAAGAACCATTTTGGGTCCCCTAAATAAACTTTCAGTGAAATGTTTTTGAAAATAACCTTTTTTATAGTGTAAAGAGCATTTTAATTATCTTAAGAACTTTTTTCCACTATAAAGAACCTTCTGTGGAATGGAAAGGTTTCATGAATGTTAAAGGTTCTTCATGGAACCATCAATGCCAATAAAGAACCTCTATATATGGAACCATCCCATTCCACAAAAGGTTCACTCTAAAAAATGCTGGGTTGTTTCAACCCAACTTTGGGTCAAATATGGACAAACCCAACCGTTGGGTTAAATTTTTACATTAAATTTTTAACCCAGAAGTTGGGTTAGTCCATATTTGACCCAAAGTTGGGTTGAAACAACCCAGCATTTTTTAGAATGTTCCTTATAATTGGAAACAAAGGTTCTTTGAGGAACCCAAAATGGTTCTTCTATGGCATCACTGTGAAAACCACCTTTTGGAACCTTTATTTTTGAGTGTCAATCAGATTCAACTTAAATTGATCTGTTCAGTCTGTTCCTCACAAAAGTTATGACTTGAAATATAATGCACAAGCATTTTTCGGACTTTCACCATTACGATGAATAGAACTATTGATAACATCTTCTGAAAACAGATTTGGAAAGGCGTGAGTAAATAATGGCAGAATTTAAATTTGAGTGAACTGTTACTTTTTATTTGTGCCATTTTCTGTTCGTAATTGCTAGTCTGCGCACCAAAAGTGCATTCTTGGGTGTCTCTGTTGGTTGTTAAATATCTAGTAGTACCAAGTAATTTGCTTTATGGTTTTTTTGTGAAGCCACAATTAAACAACCCTTAAGGTATTTAGAGGCTGCAACCCATACAGGGCATTCAGCCTTCGCACTGACACCCGTGATCCTCCGACGTGGGCTAGATTTACAACCTCAGGAGGGTTCGGCAATGGAATCGAGAGTATTGAGAGTATGAGATGGTCTCGGTGATGGGAATTTCAGACGGCCTTCTGCATTACTTCAGGACAGGGACAGCTGACATCCTCTTGGAATAAATGTTTAGCATTTGCTAAAAGGTGGGAAGAGGGTCTGGGGAGGTCAGTGCGGCTGGGAATTTAACAAAGACCGGAGGAAGAGTCCTGGAACGTGGAATTCCACACTGAAACGATCAGAGATTCCAGTAAGATTCAGATTTCTACACTCTTAAATATAAAGGTTCTTTTTTGGCATCAATGGTTCCATGAAGAACCTTTAACATCCATGGAAACTTTTAAATGCACAAAAGGTTCTTTATAGTGGAAAAAGTCCTTTGCGGAACCTTAATTTTTAAGAGTGTAGGATGAAAAGTTGTCTAATAAAGGCATTATATATTACGAATATTGTTGGCTCTTTGACACGTGGCTTTTGTTCCTCTGTTTGGATAAAAGCATCTGCTAAATACATAAATGTGACTGTTTATTGTAGTTCTGTAAAAGTCGTTTTGTTTAAATGCTTCAAATGCCACAAAACGCTGTTTTAAAGACAGTTGTGCAGAAAAGAGCTGCGCAAACAAACTCTGGTCAGGGCTGATAGGAGTGCAGAGTCACATGGGCTCAGTGAAACCAGTGAAACCACCCTCTCTCGCTGGGCTTGGACCGTGCATTTTTCTGCAGTTAAACTGCAACCACTAATCACAGCGTGGCCTCACCATTTCCTCTTGGAACGTTTCGCTCACGTCCTCCCTGCTACGCAGAGCCCGGTCCCTCGCCCTCGCTCTCTCTCTCTCTCCCCCCTCGGCACCTTCACGAGACACCCGAGGATGGTCCACGCCACTTGTCCCTGCATCTCTGAGCCACCAAAGGCCTGCAAGCCCTCCAGAATAAACACAGACGGAGTTCTGCGTCCACACACTTTCCACTTTATGTTTTCTTTTATGTCTTTCAGCCACTTACTTTCTCCTTACAACCACTGCAACAAAAGGAGAGGAAATTTGACAGAAAAAAACCCCAAAATAATTTCTTAGGTCAAATGTAATGAGTTTATAAGTCTTTCTATATATCTATATATATCTATATATATATATATATATATATATATAATAAAAAAACAATGAATGCTTTTTATGTATATTACATATAAGAGAGTTTTAATTCAATATGTATAGTAGTCACTCAAATTTCCATTTGTATTCCATAGTTTGACGACTTTACGATTATTCCAAGATGGGGAAGATAAAAAGTAAAAGTACCAGTAAAAAATGAAAAGGTGTATACAAATTTGGCTGGTATGGTATATTGGCACGAGCCATTGAAAAACTCATATTGATCGAATCGACCACTGGTTAAGTTCAAGAAACGTGAGAACGGTTCAAGTCTTTGCCACATGAATCGCAGGGCCACATCACCACCATTGTTTTCCAACTGTAAGCTGTTAGCAATAAGCAGCGCGCTGGATCGTAACGGGCCAAGGGCTTCAGCAGTTAAACTGGAAGCACAGCTGGCTTTTATTATTATTTGCTTGCAAAGCCAACAGCCTGGATCTTCCAGTACCGCCACAATAACGCGACTGGAACACAGTAAGCGAATAAGACTGCCGTATGAAAAGAGAAAGAGGGCAGGGAGGGAGGTAAAGCATTTCAGAAAGAGAAACAAGGCTCTCTCAAGTCTGGGCTTGGCTCCGTGTCCGGGCAAATTAATTCCTGTCAATGTGTGTGAGAGTCCGAGACTGCCGCCTTCTTTCCATGATCCGCTGTTCCCCGC